CTCATGTGGACATCTGACAGCTGAGCCTGTAGCCCCAGTGGAAAATGCCATACTATTGTCCCAGTTCAATAGAGAATGGGCCGGCACAGAGTTCTGCTTGCCTTCTAGGTGGGGCTGGGCTGTAGCTTTTCTTACATTCCTTTCACCTCCAGATTAACTACTGCCTTCATTAAAATTTGGTCATTTATACAATACTTTCATTCCCAGTCCTTTAAAGTAGGGCAGTGGTTCTCAACCTCCCTAATGCCGTGACCCTTTAATACAGTTCCTCGTGTTGTGGTGACCCCCAACCATTAAATTATTTTCGTTGCTACTTCATAACTATTATTTTGCTGCTGTTATGAATCGTAATGTAAATATCTGATATGCAGGATGTATTTTCATTGTTACAAATTGAACATAATGAAAGCATAGTGATTAATCACAAAACACAATATGTGATTATATATGTGTTTTCTGATGGTCTTAGGCGACCCTTGTGAAAGGCCCCAAAGGGGTCGCGACCCACAGGTTGAGAACCGCTGAAGTTGAGAGAGAGAGAGAGAAGCCATTGTTCATTTGGGGGTTTTCTGACGTGAAGATACATGGTAGATTTAGTCATCAGTGATAGCTTTTGGAGAGAAAAAAAAAAAAAAACCCTCCACATTGGGGCTGATCAAAATGTTATCCCTTCTCCACAACCCCTTCCATTTTAACCAAAATCTCTACAAGTAATTTTAAATAAGCAAGTAAATATTAGTAGCGTCACTGTTGAAACTAAGAATTTTCTCATGGGATGTGCCAAACTTCTTCCATGGTGTGAAACCTCCTGAGGGAGATAGGACTCTCCTGAGATGCCTGGAGAAAAGTCGCTAAACAGTTCCTGCTTATAGTGGGCCATGGAAATGGTTTAAAAAACCCTCCTTGTAGTAACTAATCTTTGGTTTAACAATATAAATACAATGTGGAATAAACCTATCAATATATTTGCTGCCTTTGAAAACAAAAATGGTATGCTTAATTACATTAGTGCAAAGGAAGAGAAAAATTGCTATTTTAGTATTTGATGAAATTTTATCACGCCTGACAGGTTAGATGTAACAAAGCTACAGACCTACAAATCACAAGTAATTGTATAGGGCATAAAGTTCTTGAATAATTTGAAAATTAATATTATTAATAAATAAAGTTATTCATCAGGTGGTTGGGTACATCTAAGCATTTCAACTGAAATTCAAGAGAGTAAGCCACGAATCCTCTGGACTTGAGTCTTATTTGTTTTAGGCAGTGACTCTGATGTTTATAGCATTAGAATCTAGGGCACTGGTAGGGTTAGTACGGATGAAAAATGGGCTGCTATTTCATAAGGTTTCCTTGGTTACTCCTTAAACTGTTCAGAGAAACCACTTCTTCAGGTAAAGAAAATGAATATAGTTGCTATACTGTAAGGACACACAAATAAAGTTATTATATTTCTAAATGAAAAGCCTTCTCCTAAGTAATTTTGGAGAAGTTAAATACTACCTGTAAAAAAATTCCTATTTAAAAATTGTGACAACTGAAACCCCTAAATGAGAATATTTCTGATGATTTACTTTTGGGTAAAATTCATTAAATCTAATACCTAACTTCATAGAACTTTCATGTTTAATCTAAGCAATGTAAAAAAATTACCACACCCTAGCTGGTTTAGTTTAGTGGATAGAGCGTCAGCCTGAGGACTGAAGGGTCCTGGGTTTGATTCCGGTCAAGGGTATGTACCTCAGTTGCAGGCTCCTCAGGGCTCATGCAGGAGGCAACCAATTGATGTGTTTCTCTCACATCAATATTTCTCTCTGTCTTTCCCTCTCTCTTCCACTCTCTCTTGACAATCAATGGAAAAATATCCTTGGGTGAGGATTAAAAAACAAAAACAAAAAACAACACCTTAATTTTTATAAATTGAGAGATAATTCCAAAATAAATATATAAAAACAAGTTACTATTATGGAATGCTATGTTTTGAAATCAATATGTCAACCGTGATTTGCAGTATAAGCTGAACTGATATTTTTCATAGTTCATTATGGGTGTGATTTACATAAGGAGACTAGAAAATCTTCAAAAAGGGAATGAACATGATAAAAGCCTCAGGTTTTAAAATTACAGTTGAATTTTTTCAAATAGCAATTAACATATCAATTACATAGAACAGAACATATCTACAAAATATTCTAAAGCACAAGAGAGAGGTCATATTTTTATTTCAAGATAATGTATTCGGGATAATACAGGTCAAGTTTAAAAATGAGATTGTTTCTACATTTAAAAGGAGACTGAGTCTATAACTGTAAACTATATCACTTAGTCACAAAGGCCATATAATTCAACAAAACATTTTGCATACAGAAATTCTAAAATATATTGAAATTATTTTCACAATTGCCTAGATTTGTTTCCCATTTATTTTTTAAAAAGTAATACAAGTGATACCATTATAATTATTTAATAGGAAAGGAGTTAAGGGAAGACTAGATAATATAGGCATGCAGTCTATACAGCTTTGCTAGAGAGCTGTCATTTAACCCTCTCCAAGCCTGTTCCCCAATGACCAATGGGGGGAGGGACTGAACAAAGGCAGTTTGGATGCATGCCCAGCGAGGTCTGGGAGGTCTGGGTGACATGGGAAGGTGCTTAGCTGTCAGTCACACCTGGAAGCGAGTCAGTGGCCGGAACAGGCATGGCCACAGCAAAGGCGTGAGACCTGAATAGCTAAACTCCTAGACAAGGGGAGTTTCCTCGCGTGGCTCCCTTGCCTGCTGTTTGTGCCTGACCCCTGTGCAGAGGGCCATGTCCCTGCACTCGCCCACGTGGTCCACGGCCATGTGGGCTCCCCATGGACTAACGACTCTAACCAGCCTGATGCTCTGCCGGAACCAGCTGCAACAGGGTCGTTCTGGACGCTGGCTTTGCTTCTGGCTCTATTGGGACCCCAGCGGCACCTTTCTCAGGACTGGCTTAAGGACATGGGAACTGTGGAGCCCAAGGAAGGTAACTCCCTGCAAATAGAGCCTTTTTCCGCATCTAGTTCTTCTGTGGGGGCTCCTGACAATGCTTATTGCAGAAGTACCCCAAGAACCCCACTCCCACGCGTGACAGGGCAATCTGGCCCACTAATTTCCCTGGTAACACCAGGTACTTTATGGAATGACTGCAAAGTACACAAGAGAGGAAAAGGGCTATGGGTACAAATATGAAAAAAAATTCTATTAGTGTTCCCTGTTACAGAGAAACATTATTTTAAAAGTGCTCATATTTTTACTGCAATTGTAGCAGAATATACTTAAGTATTAGAAGAACCACTTAGTTGAAAAATTTTGCAGGATAAAAAGTGAAATATTTTAATAATTTTAAATCATTAGAATGCTCTATAGGCCAATACACAGATGACATACATCCTAATATATATGCCTAAGGTAACTCTGGGTACATGTAAATATTCAGATTCTGGTTACTAAGAAGTTCTTATATTTGATATAACAACTAAAATACAAGGGAGACAAAGATAAGGAAGAGAAAGACAGATTTTTACTAGAATTCTATTTAAACCAGACACTTTAAAGTTGTGAGTGTGTGTATGTGTGTAAACGGGGGCGTCAACTATTTTTTAAGTACTTTAGGTAAAGATATAAGTAGAAACTAGGTTTCATCTCAAAGAAAAAAAAAACACATAGGTAGCATTGCTGTGCTTTCATTTAAAATTTCTCTTAAAAGGCTAGGTTTGATAAAAAGCTTCCTAAAAATATGCACTTGTTTTTACTCTTAATTTGATATTCAACCAGAAAAATAAAAAAACTATTAATCCAAAGTATATTTTCAAAATTTCTACAAGAAATTACATTACATCAAACCAAACTACAACTTCAGGAAGATCAAATTTAGGAGACCACGTAGTGTGAAAATGTCCTCTTCCTCTTATCTGCCCAACACAGTCTCTATCTCAATAGCAATATACTCAGTCTTATAATTGACTTATTTCAGTACACTTAAGGTTTCACAACCTGCCATGTTAGTTCAATTTTACATAAAATCGCAATACTGACATTGGTCACAGTAGTGGATGTCGAGACTCCCACTGTACTGGAAGAATGGCTTGCTGTTTATAAAATATAACAATGCTTAAGAAACAAACCAAAAAACCCCATGAACCCCCTTAGAAAACAACACAATTCTCAAGTGAAAGAAAGAAAGAAAGAGAGAGAGAGAGAGAGAGAGAGAGAGAAAGAAAGAAAGAAAGAAAGCAAGCTTTTGAATAAATCAAATAAAAAATACTGGGAGTTTAATATTAAAAAATCTCCTAATTTAAATGCAATTTGTCAAAAGTATTTCACATTCTTTAGAAAATATGGTTTTTAAATAAGGCCTTCTGTTTTTATCCAAAACTTTATCATAACTTTTAAATTATGTGTAAAAAAATGTATATTTTAAATTTTATAGTGTTTTTTTTTTAAGCTATAGGTTTTACAACTAAAGAGAATACATACTTAAGGTCTTTTTTCTTTAACTGCTTAAAAACACACACAGTTCAGGCTATTCACCTAAAACTTTGCCCTAAATCCAAATAATTCATTCCAGCAGCAGGTGAATCACTCATTCTAAGAGGTTTCCTCAAATGTCACATTCTCCTTGAACCTTCCTGGACATTCCAGCAGATATTAGTTGTTCTTTTCTGTGTATTGCATTCCTATATCCATTTGAGTTTCTCTCTCTCATAATCCCCACAGTATGCCTCGTGGTTCATTTTTTAAGGTCTCGTTCCTCCGCTAAACTCTATTCTCTCGTAGATGGAAATTGAATGACAGCCATCTCTGCATCTCAGCAGATGACACACAGTAGGCACTCAATGTCTGCTGAACAAATGGAGCAAGGGGAGAACAGAGCATAAAGGTAAACTCGGGGCGCCCAACTGCTATTTGGATTTGTTTCCCAAAGTTTACTTTAAAGTAAAAATGTTTACTGTTAACCATTAACAGATACACATGAAAATTAGTCTGCTTTTAATACCCACGGAGAAATAATACATTTGGGGCAAAAGCCTTCTGAAAATGATTAAAATAAAAAGAAATATGTATGAAAAGGAGGAAATATTTAGTTTTGTTTTTGTTGTTGTTTTTTTTGGGGGGAGGGGGGTTTGGTCAAAATGTCCCTTAGTCACTGAATCCTATTAAAGAGCTTAAAAGTAGTTAAAATTTCACATATTAAACCAAGCAGATTTGGTTAGAGGGGAAAAAAGGCTTTCAGAGATTACTAAAATGAGTTAACAGTGCAAATACTAGGTTGCTTGTTTCATGAAATCTTACCATGTGCTTTTTTTCTTCCTTAAAAGGAAAATTTAAAACACTCTCCAGTTTTAACGCAAACAAAAGATAAATATTTATGAAGGAAAACAGATTCCACAGCATTCCATACAGATTTCCAAACAGTCTGATGATTCACAACAGGCGTCCATGATGCCACAGTCCATGTCACAAGGGCAGTTGCAGTCATCCCCCATTTCATCTCCGCAGCAACAGCAGCAGGCTTCTGAGGTACAGATGCCACAGGAAGCTTGTCCCAGGACGATGTTGCAGAGGGTCAGGAATTCACAGAACAAGCAGGCGAGGATGCAGTGGACACAGCAATCTTCATTTTCAATCGGGAAGAGACCGCAGAGTGGGGAAAAAGGAGGAACACACAACACAGAAATCATCAAGAGGCTGAATAATAAGTTGGTCAAAATAAGTAATCCAGAACCCAATGATATGCTTTCCTAGAAGTCTTTTGTAGGCTGAAAGCTCAAAAATAAACTTAAGTTAAATTCTAGATGAACGATCTTTAGAACTAAGACTCCATGTGAGAAAAAAAAAAAAGGTTGTAGCTGTGTATGCACGAGTGGATGTGGGTGAGATTATTACTGTCACACACTATGCAACAGCCCTTGGTACTAGGTTCCCCTTCTGTATATCCATCTTCCCTGTATCCTACTGCTCTCTATAACATTGGCTAAAATGATTCCATGACATTGAAGTCTTTCAGAAATAAAAAATTCCTTCAACTGCTCCACTGACCTGCTCCAAAACTTGAGAGAAAAAAAGACAGATTCAGTATATTATTGAATAATGGAATCAATAGTTAAATTGGAATCTATTAAACTGGGGTCAGCATGTTTTACTTGCCAATAAAACTGACTCAATTTCATGGTATCAAATATTTTTAGTTTCACAAGAACTAAAGAAAAACTGAGACTTCTGTTTAGGTCCAACCATTGTTCCTGGAATCCAAGTTCTTCTGCCCATTTCTAACAAAGGATTTGTCCCTTAACAAATGTGAATGACGACACAGGAACACCGCTTCCCACTGCCAGTGTGGCAAAGTCTTTGCATTTCTATTATTGCCTGAGACATCTCTAATAATCCCTCTTTAAAACAATCTTTAGCAAACTTCACCAACTGAGATAAAGGCCAGAAATCAAAGAGATCATAATCTAAAGATTTAGTACCCCATATTATAAACTTCTTTCCTTTAGAATAGTGACTTTCAAGCTTTTCATGTCATAGCTTACATAAACTAATTACTAAAATTCTGCCGCACACCAACAAATATATTCTTTTGCTGATCTGATAAAAAAAAACATAGGTATGATTTTGATTCATTCACACTGGACAGCTATTGTTGTGTTGGTTGTTGTCATTTTTTTTTTTTACAACCTAAGGGAAGAAAGGTCAGTGCCTCTGACTAGTCAGGTATTGCATGTTGTAAAAATCCCTGCAGCGCACCAGTTGAAAATCACTGCGTTAGAATTTTGTGGCAAGTGAGAGGAGCAGTTGAAGAAATTTCTATTTCTGGGGGACTTTAACATGCGTCATCAAATTATTTAAGACCAATGTTATAGGACCTTTTTCCAATTTCAGAAATACTTGTGCATTTTTACCAGGACTATTTCTGGGTTTGTGTGTTGTTGTCGGTTGGTATTTTGTTTCGCTTTTTCTGTATTTTATACAATGCGAGCTTGAGGAGGGGATTCTGCTTTCAGCAGCAGCAATGCAGAGCCACCCCACCTCATCCCAGTCACACCCATTGTGTTTCAGTACTGGCTTGAAAACTGAGCGCCTCTGAAGGAGTTTCAGGAAATTGTGTGACCATCCCATAATAAGCTCCCCAACTCCTTGAATATGCCCGTTCCTCTATAGTCTCTCACTTCATAAAGATTCTCTAACTTTGTAAAAGTAGGGAATGTGCAAACACAAGGTCATATTCTAAATGCCAGGTGGCAAAGTAGGGAGGGTCCGAAAAGAATTCAAAAGAGAAACTCCAGAGCTGTTTGTAGAATTTAAGGCTTCAAAGAACGCCACAACCTTTCCTTTCGTTCCTGGGCCCACTCTGACATACAATGGTCTGTAGAACAACTGGAAAAAGATCACAGAGTTGTGAGGGTGTGCAAGTTTCTCTCCATCTTCCCTAATGTTTTAGTAGTAGCCGATCCTATCAGGAGAACATGGAGAGCACCCACATGAATCCACATTCATAACCTTGGAAAGTACTGGGTTTCTACAGCGTGTCTGTGGTTTATCTCTTGATAAACTTTTATCCTAATATCTAAAGTTATATGTCTCTGTACATTTGAGCTTTTGTAGGAATCATATTATTATCATTTGTAAAATATTCAAAATGTTATAAAGAGCTAGCTTTATTATCATTATTATTATTATGAAAATAGTGTTGAACTGGGAGTAAGCCACACTTGTGATCTTAACTTTCTTTTCCTCTGCTGGATGCTGTATTTCAAGACTGAAAGAAAGAAGCTACAAAAACTCACTTGAGCCCTAACCGGTTTGGCTCAGTGGATAGAGTGTCGGCCTGCAGACTGAAGGGTCCCAGGTTCGATTCCGGTCAAGGGCATGTACCTTGGTTTCGGGCACATCCCCAGTAGGAGGTGTGCAGGAGGCAGCTGATCGATGTTTCTCTCTCATTGATGGTTCTAACTCTCTATCCCTTTCCCTTCCTCTCTGTAAAAAAATCAATAAAATATATTTAAAAAAAAACTCACTTGACACTGAAGAACCTTTAATTGAGTAATTTTAAAACAACACCATAGAATTCCTGTGAAGAGCGTTTTTGTTCAAAAGTATGTGTTTCAGATTTACCCTTGTTGATTAATGTAGCTACAGTCCACCTATTTTCCAGGTATATAGTATTCCATTGTTCTAATGTACCCTCATTTATTTATCCATCATACTATTTATGAATATTTGGTCATTGCCAGTGTTTTAGTATTCTAAACATGACTGTTTGACACAATTCTGTGCAAGTCTCTTAGAGCACAAGTGCTAAATAAGTAGCAGAATAATGGCTGGGTCACAGGGTGTGCATATGTTTAATCTTATTAGGTAATTCGAAATTTGTTTCCAAATGACTGCTCCAAAATGTATTCCCACCCATCAAGTATGAAAATGCTCACGGTTCCATCTCCTCGCCAATCTTTGACACGGGCATAATCTCACACATGCCGAGTAGTTGAGTAGGAACGGGTGTCCCACTGTGGTTTTACTTATTTACTAAGTTTGGACACCTTTTCATGTTTCCGTGCCACTCGTGTTTCCTCTTCTTTGAAACGGCTATTCAGCGTGTTCATGCTTTCCACTCACTTTTCTATTGATTTGCCTCTTTTTTTCCGTATTGATTTGTAAAGTTTTTAATATTCAAGATATCAGGCCTTTGTCAAATATGATTGTCCTTTCTCAGTATGTGGCTTTTTCAGTTAGAATGACAAGAGACAGATGAGTTAGTTTTTAGACTGTGAGAAATTGAAGTTATCAAGAGAAATCCAAATTGTTTTGAAATTAGCTAGAGATATGGGGCTGGATGGCTGAGGAAGTGAAGGGGCAGATGGGCAAGTCTGGCAAATTAGTGAGAAGAAGAGGAGGCATTACTAAGATTTGGGAGCATAAATAAATAAAAAGTTTCTGTGTCTGATTCAGAACAAGGGAGTCCAGCCACGCCTATATACAGAAAGGGAGAAGACACCAGTGAGTAATCAGGAGGAACGGACTGAGTGTTATTGGTGTGAAATCAACAGTCTCGGATGAAGAGAGGTGGAATTGGCATTCCGAACTAAACAACTCATTCCATTCATAGGATATATTACTTTGAAAACTAAAATGTCTTCATTTATAACTGATGTCCCCCCCAGGAAGATTAGGTGAATATTAGGAGTGACCCATTATTGTCTAGATTATAGACAATAGTGACAGTTGTCATACAGAAATCAGAAGTCCTAAGCCAAGAATAAAATCTCTCCAAACTCCTACATTTAGCCAACAAGATCTACAAGTTAATTTAGTCTGTTACTGTCTTTGTATTTTTAGTAAACAAAGAAAAATTTTAAAAAGTTCTTAGCTCTAAATAGATCAAACACTCCTTTTCTAGCCTGTCTTCTATAACACATGATTCCTATAACTAATAGATTTGAGTGGTGGTTTTACATACACGGGAAGCCTAGCATTAATGAAGAAAAAGTATTTATTGGCTGTTGTCAGAATTAAAATAGGTGTTATCTTGGGACAGTGATGTTTTCATCACTCTTTCATAAAAAAAAACAACAACACAAAACTATTTAAAAAACTTACTTTATACTGAACTCTGTTTTAAGGTCTTTATAAATATTAATTCATTCAATTCTAATAATATTTCTAAGAAGCAGTTTCCCCATTTTAGCAATACAGAGAAAGATTTATAGGAAATTTATGAAATTTATCCAAGTCATAGAGGCAATAAGTAGCAGCTGCCACTAGTAAAGATGGGTCACTCCTAATACTCACTTAATCTTCCTGGGGGGGACATCAGTTATAAATCCAAAACATTCTGCTGATTTGTCTTGTTGATTTGTTTTTGGCCTTGAGTCAAGTCCCTTTTCCTTTCTAAAGATGATTCTGAATTTCAGTTTTAATGAGGAGTTGATAGCAAATGTTAACCTTCACCAAGTAAGAGTAAAGTTGATGAATTGCTGCCAGTCACATTGTCAAAACAGACATAAGAAAGAGATGTCACAATCAAAAGAAAGAACGCTGTCTAATTAAAATATAAAAATTAAGGCCTATAGTTATATGAACAAGAACAATGTTGCTATTACATAGGAACTCTAGTGGCAAAACTAGAGTGGTAAAAATGACAGAGGTCTCAAAATAATAAGCTCTTTATGTAAATATTAAAACTTACAAAAAATAGACAACTTATCTGAACACACCTTCTATATAATTACTGGAAAAGCACTTTGGGCTACTGTGAAAAACCAAATCTATTAACAGGCCCCTAAAAAAAACCACAAACCAAAATGCATTTTAGAGATTAAAGTGATATGAAACAAAGTGAATTTACAGAGACATCTACCATAGACTTTTATTTCCTGTCCTTTATAAGTAGAAAAACACCTAAATATAACAACCAAAAAGAAAAAATGAATCCCTAATATTATCAAATCAATTAATAATCTGACTTTTCATTCCTTGCCAGAAACATCTTTCTTTTCATCTGTGTTCTAGAGTTTATTTGTGACTTGGGATAATAAAAGTTAAATAAATTAAGAAAAAATAATTGTTACAGTTTCTACCTACTCCATCCCCACCACCTCCAGCAGAATCAAAAAT